CCACCCATGCTTCGTTCTACTTGTGCACTGACCCGGAGCAGCCTGCAATGATGCTTGTGGTGCAACCATGTCCTCGTAACTAGCATATAAGCCGCGCAAGCGTCCACACCCATGCACTCCCCAGCCCCGTCCACACCCAAGCCATGCCGTCTCACTCCCCTCCAACTCCCTTCCTTCTTCCCTCCCCACCCATGCGCCTCCCATCTCGCTCCCCTCCATCTTCATACGCCCCCCGTCTCGCTCCCCTCCATCTGCCCTTCCAGCCCCGACCCCACGCGCCTCCCGTCCCACCCACGCGCCTTCCGTCGCGCTCCCCTCCACCCATGCACCTCCATCTTCCATCCCCAGCCCCGTCGCCTCCCGTCTCGCTCCTCTCCATCTTCCCTCCCCAGCCCCTGGCGTACTTCGCCGCACGGCCTCCGACGGATCCCCAGTTTGGGCCACGTGGCGTTGGGCGCGTGGCAGTTCCGTCTTTCGTCGGGTTGGCTTTTGGATGTATCATATACCTGGAACCTGAGTGACCCCTGTTTTGGAGGGTCAACTATCCCAAATATGGCCTTTTCCTGTCAAAAAAGGTGTCAAACGGATTCTAGGTGTATATAATATATATCAACTGGTTGTTTTCAATCTGCAGCTAGTCTCCAATAACATTGCAACATGGCTTCTGACAACCGTTCCAGGAAGCCTGGAGCAGTATCGGCCCCCTCCAAGGTTCGTTCCAACCGTACAATTTCCCACGTTGCGCTTGTGGCGCATAACGCTCCTCCCGTGTCGGCCATGCCTTGACTGTCTGGCACATGTACTGTGCACATTTTGGACACCCAGCCCCATCGTATCAGCCCCGGAGCTGTACTCACCACCCAACACACGTCCACGAAGCATGGACCAGCGCTACCCCCACCCATGCTTCGTTCTACTTGTGCACTGACCCGGAGCGGCCTACTAGTACCATGATGCTTGTGATGCGACCATGTGCTCAACGCAACATTGCCTGTCGCAGGCATTGTGCACATTTTGGACACCCAAGACCATACCTAAGCCCCGCAACACTGCTCCATTCACCTCCCAACGTCCCTCCGCGAAGCTGGACCAGCGCTACCCCCACCCATGCTTCGTTCTACTTGTGCACTGCCCCAGGGCAGCCTGCACTGATGCTTGTGGTGCGACCATGTGCTCAATGCAACCATGTCTGCCGCGTGCAGTCTGCACATTTTGGACACCCAAGACCATACCTCAGCCCCGCAACACCGCTCCATTCACCTCCCCACGTGCCTCCGCGAAGCATGGAGCAGCACCACCCCCACCCATGCTTCGTTCTACTTTTGCACTGCCCCAGAGCAGCCTGCAATGATGCTTGTGATGCTTGCGGGCTCCCGTCTCGCTCCCCACCCACGCGCCTTTCGTCTCGCTCCCCTCCATCTTCTCGTCCCCACCGATGCCCCTCCCATCTCGCTCCCCTCCATCTGTTCCCTCCCCAACCCCTTCCTTCCCCTCCCTTCCTTCCCCTCCCTTCCTTCCCCTCCCTCTTCCTTCCCTTCCCTCTTCCCTTCCCAACCCCGTCCACCTCCACCTCCATCTTCCGTCCCCGACAACGTAAGCTTTTCCTCGCTCTCCCCCGGCACTAGCGACTAAACGAGAACCCAAGCATCGGAGATGCTTTTGGGAAAAAGTTTAAGGGGTAGGTATCATGAAGGACCATGAATCAAACTGATCAAATTGGACAGCGTGTTCAACAGTTGTAGCAGGTACGTTTGCAGCCCCCCCCCAGTGGCCTCTTCGTTGGCCATCCGCCACTGGGGAGGGGGATGGCCCCCTGCTGTGAAAAAGGTAGAAGTTGGCAGTGAACCCTTTGGCACAGGGGTTGACACACACAGGTCGCCGTAATCGGCGCTTTTTCTTTTCAAAAACCGGCTGCAAGCAGTTGGGTGGTGTCCTTTTGGGACGTAGAGCTGCACTAGCTCAGTGGCAGCAGCGTCAGCGCTTGAAGGTGGAAAGGTGTATGAGCTGGTGCTTGTCGACGTGCTTGAGGATGTGCTGGTGCTTGTTGACG